CAACGGTTAAATGAATGGAAATAAATTGATAACGGAGGGTCGACGAACGTGTGCCAGAAGAAGACGATGGCCTTTGACTTTCGAATAATTAAATTTAAGCTATTTAAGGCGTTGGGGAAACGTCCTTCGCAACTGTTCCGCGACGAACTTCTTAGCGAAGGAATTTTACTCGACACGTGTCATCGAACACTCGCTTTAACCTTTTCGGTGCTCTGCGCGAGTATACTCGTCAAATTATTTTGTTCTTGTAGTGCTCTGCTACGAGTTAAATCGCACGAACTTATTGTTAATGAGTTAATGAGTTAGTGAGTCTTGAGCTCTTTCCTATTTAAAAAGCTCATGCGATTGAACTCGTAGCAGAGCACGACGAGAACAAAATAATTTGTACGTAGGTGACAGTGCATCTCGCTGAGGAACTAAAGAAATCAATTCTAAAAGCCAAGCATCAAACGGAATGAATAAAATCCATGAATTTCGATGAGGTTACAAAAATAGATACCACGATAAATGTTTGATTACGTAGTCTCCGATAGTCGAAATAATATTTGAGCCCATAGTTATAAAAGTGGTCTAAGTCAAAATTAAGAAAAAAAAAAAAGAAATGAGTTTATTATTTATTTCACACCACATTATTTTAAATTAAATTAATTCAATGTAATTTCTTTTTCAAGAAATGTATGACTTAGACTACTTTCGTAATTATGGGCACATTTAATCCTAGCAGAAATTGATGTTATTTGTCTGGCAGTCAACGTGTCAAAACATCGTGTAAGTAAGGTCGATCTGAGAAAGATTTGTTCCCGTTCGTAAGACAAATGAAAATCGGCGGGTGAAAGAGTTAACCCAGTGAAATTTGTGACGCGTCCAAGAATATGCTCGTCACACCGACAGATACGAGCTCGTTTCTCATGGCACGAGCTAGAACCAGACCATCGATCATTTGGGCGGAAAAAGGAAACGCCCATGGCTTTACCGCGGAGCGAAACGCTCCGAAGAGGCGTTAAACGCGACAAAACCATGACATCCGGTAGACACGGGTCGACACGTGACCTGTTCAATCCTCTTAAGCCAAGTACTCGACGAAGATAGCCAAAACGTCGCTGGGAGCGTTGCTCGGACGCTAAGGCGCTTTGTCCGCTGCTTTTTCTGCCACTTTGTTACAATACTATTTAATCTCCACGTTTGACGACTATAATTATCGCCCGGGGCCGTTAGTACCATTTCTGCCGTGCCTTCGGGCTGATTTCCGTCAGAGGGTGTCTCTGTTTGTTGCTTGCTGTGTATCGGTTCCCAAAAGGGTTGCAAATGAAATTTGAAAAACCCTGTCAAAGGTAGAGATCGTGACAGTGGAATAATTATTAAACTATCGAGCGTACGAAACCTTCTATGTACATTGTACATTGTTTTAGGAATTCAATTTTCCTGGAAACCGATTACTACACTGCGGATCTTTATGCAAAATAAAATCTTCGCGAACGTTCCTACAAGAATTAAACCTACTTTCAGTCTTTTTTATATTCTTGCATATTGCTCGCATTTTGTAGGTCCTTGTACATTCAAATTTCCTATAAATGCATAATGATCCGCAGTCCACCGATTACTATTCCCTCGGGAGTTTCGTTTCGCTCTCTGTAATAACACCAGCGAAATAGAATCGCCGCAGAGATGAATGACGAGGAGTCAATTTGTTCTTTCCGCACTGAAAACCGTAAAAGACAAATCCAAATCAGCGTCAGACGACACTCGACAACAAGCAAGTACTTAACATTTTTTCTGAGAACTCCTTACATTTCACCTCCATTTCATTCTACTCTGAATCATCTTGAAACCAACTTATAAAAGTCTAAATTTCCCTCTCCTTCCAGGAAACCGTAGTTCTCGCCGAAAATTAGCGTCAGCCGGTGCTCGGAATAAACCTAGACAGTAATTTGAATTTTCTCTAGAAACTTCTTACCTTTCACTCGCATTTCATTCCGCTCTCGATCATTTTAAAACCAACTCATAAAAATCTAAATTTCCCTTCTCTCGTTAAAAAAAAAAACCGCAGGACTGGCTGAAAGTTAGCGTCAGACGATCCTCGAGAGCGGGGAAAACGTGGAAACGAGTTTGCTGAAGATTCACCGGCATTACAATGAAACTATTCCGGTCGGACGAATAGCGCGGAGTGTTTCGTCCTGTACGATGGAGTCCCCAGGACTCGCGGAACTCGCTTGTTAGTTTCCCTCTTTCTGTTCCGTGTTTCAGCTTGTTCGTGCACGCGAGGAGACTCGAGCGAGACGGTTACGTAGTCGGACGGATAGATGGACAAATGGAAAGAGAAATAAAGCGGCCACACAATTATCTTAATGGAGTTGTGGACACCGGTGGGCATTATCGATTCGCTGGGCAGACGTCGCGACGCTACTGCCCTGCCGTGTAATTCTTCTACGACGGAAGACTCAGAAAAACGTCGTTCGAGGGTGGTTGGGAAATTGTATGCCGGTAGATTCAATTAGGCTTCAAGTGGAGGAGGTCGAAATAATTCGCTCGAGTTTGGAGAGCTTCGATGTCTCAATCAACTGAAGAGATACACAAGTAGGTGAATCTTTTGCGTGTTCTTCCAACGACTTTTCTGTTGAGAAATAATTATAGATACATTTTTATTGAAATCATTTTTCGTTATTATATCCTCTGTCAACGATGCCTGACGACTTAACGAATTAATTAGATATATAACCAGTAATAGATTCAACTGATGTACTCAATCAACGTGCTAAGTTAAAAGTATGAAATAATTTCTATTTCCTTTATATTAAATTATATTGAAAACTTACTTCTCACCAGAAAAATCATTCTAATACGTTACATACTTATCTTATTACGTTATGTATTTCACGAACAGTCAATACCATAAATATTCTTCCTTACTACGTGTATTGATGAAGTCTGACTAAATTAAATGATAGTTTCGATATTACCGAATGAATTTTTTATTATATTTATGTACATATATATATATTTTTATAATAAAAAATTCATTCGGTAATATCGAAACTATCATTTCATTTAGTTATTATATATATATGAACAAGCTTATACATGTATATATTTATACAGACTACTTCTTTATCGTAAAATAATTTAATATTACAAAATCAACGATAAAATGAAGCTAGAGAGCTGTATCTGTGTTTTAATGATTATTTTGCTGAAAACGAGCAAGTGTCGGTGACTTATAGACGGTGATGCACGCATCAACATATTTATACAAACGTACACTTGGAAACATCAAACCCACCATTCGATTTAAACAAATTTCTTCAATAGACGTAGAGGAGTGGCGATATATATGGAACTGACCGTGTGTATGTTTTAATATGTATTTACATAAGCAAATGCTCGCGCCAACAAGTGAACTGCAACTCGTTTCTTGGTTTGTCAATTATTACTCCATTATCCCTCGGTGGAGGGTGTTGCACGGGACCAGGGTTCTCTCAGGTTGGATCAGAAATGGCTCACGAAACGTCGGAATGAACAATCCACTCATCAGACCCGGCACGTGAGGCACACGTGCCAGGAGCGTGTCGGGGCAACTGGTGCCCCGTCGCTTCTGGCACCATGTGCGCCCGATGAATATGCACGCGTTCCCTCGCGCACGTTTCCTTTCTCCTACCTAAGATCGTAGGTGCTACGCTTTTGTCGCTGTCGCGACTTACGCGTCTCTACGCAAATAACTTCTGTGTGCCTCGACTTTGAAACAGTGGCACACGACGTTTTTTGTTAGCCGGGGGCCAAATAAAATGGAGCGACGGTTAGCGTGAGCCGAGTTTCGAGTGTATTAGTGGAAATAAAAAGGAGTAAAGGAAGAAAACACTGTGTAACACTTCAATTATTGTCCTGTCACTGTTTAGAGAAAGATTTTCTACATTAATTCGTTTATTAACCACTTAAGCTACGATTTAAGCACCAACAGTATTATTGTTATAGATTATTATACTGTTAATAAAGATATTAAATCTGTTTGTGGCACCATTGCAAGTAATAACAACACATCCTGCATACTGTTGAAAGGTATATTAAAGTTTCTGGTCCCATCACCGCCAAAAATTAAGCAATGCGAGTACCAATACAACAATCAACAACACATTAATTCCAGGATCTTCGCAATGAAACTAAAAAGCCACGTAAAGTTTACTTTACCCTCCATTAATATATTATTCAACACATCCTGCATACTGTTGAAAGGTATATTAAAGTTTCTGGTCCCATCACCCTAAAAAATTAAGCGCTGCTACAATTACAGCAACAATATACAGCAACCAACAACGTGAACTCCACTAAAGCTTATAAATACAATCTTTGCGTAAAGTATTAAGAATCGATCGCGGAGTCATCGAGTAAAATGTCTTTGATGTTCCCATAAAACGTTTCAAAGCGTCGCGCAGGAAGGAGGGGGCCAATGAGAGCCCGCATATTCGATGGAAGCTGCGCCACTCGGCTTTGAAACTTTTCGAGGATACCCTGGGTGGATGATAAACAACTCGAAAGACAACTCGTAATCGCACGTAACAACGTCATTGTGGATCGAGTGCGACCAACTGCCGAGCCTGACACTACGTCCTCGACGACATATGGGACAGAGTCGATGATCTTGTACTTAATGTCTCGGTACCCCTGCAGCATCGGGCTCGATGACCACTTCCAAAGGGCAAGGGTCAGCCCTCGTCGAGGATCTTCGGTTGCTTTCGATAAATGATCCTACCGTAGCCGACGAGGGTACGATTTTTTTTAGGGAAATTCGAAAACACTTTGCGCGTACGAATTCGTATTAAAATGCTCGAATAAATGTTTCGATTGTTTTTATAAATACAAGCTTACTAGGTGGAGGATGATTGTCATCCGATTAGACGTAGGACGACGACGGTGGTGTGGATGAATGTGAGGATATTGTCACGTGTGGATCGCGAGATGGGAGAGAATTTGGAAAAAAAAAAATAAATATCAAATAAAAAAAGACTCACGTTCTTCCTTGATCGGAAAACAGCTTGGTGTTTCAATCTTCCGTTCTAAAACAAAAGGAAAAGAATAAACTAATTAAGTCGGTTAAAGCAAACCGTGTGTACAACTTAAATACAATAAAGTATAATAGAAGTTTGTAACGTTAATAAAGAAGAGTTGTGAAGGAGACGCGTGAGCGCTGGTAGGGAATAAAATTAATTTAAACAAAGAGAAACTCTGATTAACTCCGGGGTGTTTTTACTATCTCGAGGTTTCATCGCGAGGATTTAGACATGTCGGGGACAATGTGGTGTCTTATCGTGGCAACCACCGTAACGTTTTTATAGAACATCGTGTCAGCTGTGCTTCAACTTGATGGCACTTTTCTCGCAACGCGATCGTAAATAATTTACCTGGGAAACGAGCACGCTCGTCGTGGACCTACCTGTGCAATATCCTCATTCATAGCCTGGATAGATTTAGACGTACACTTCGATAGCCAAATCGACAGTGATCAATCGTAATCTTATTTAACGTTAAACAAATGTGGTCCAAGCAAGCAAATATTAGGCGTCTACATTAAACTTTCTAAAAAATGAATATACCGAATACAACGTAGAATATTTATGGCTGTAATTGATAATAATTCGCATTAGGGTTCATTTGAAAGCTGCAAAGAAAAGTGGTTATTACATTGTTTCGTTCAAAAAATTCCAGTAGTGTGGTGCGACTACTTTTTCTAAATAAAAATTGCCAGAAGTACTGTTCGAGACAGGTACTTTCAACATGCGTATCAAACATTTATATTAAACATTCAGAATTGCAGGAAATAATTATTATTTTAACCCCTTATTTTGTCTGCAAACAACTTGCTGCTGCCAACTGCCATCCATAACGTTCATTAGTTATCACAGAGTTATTACGTAATTAATACATACAGTCAGTCCCATAAATATTCACCTTTTATGTCTATTAAAGTAATCTGTCTAAATGATATGATAGGTTTGATATTTTCAAATAAATGTTTCATTATAAATATCCATAAAGTATATATTAGGTTATCCCAAAAGTTTCTTTCGTTTTATTAATAAGTAATACATACACAATATTTTATGTCTAACGTTACATTATTGAATTGTGTACGATTCATTTTGCTCCATTACTGTTACAACATCAACATCTAAGAAGTTGGATTGTCTATTTATATAAACACTACCGCGCAAAATAATTGACTGCAAATTACGAAAGTAACTTTCGGGACAACCTAACATTTGAAAATATCCAACCTGTCACTTGATTTAATTATTTATAAGACTTTATTATTTGGTAAAATGTCGATACATCGCGTGACCTGAAGTATACACGAGCCCATAGAAGGTTAGCTTGAAAACCCTCGTTAAGGGTTCGTCGATCGTCGTTGCGTAACTACGAATGTCGTAACAATCGCCAGCAGAAAACATTCTTTTATCGCGCGTAATCGCGAGTGCGGTTTAAACGGCGTTTAGTTCCCATCAAGGGCCACTTAATCTCTGATCGCGTAAACTCGGTTAACAATGGGGCACGCGTGCCCGAAGAGGAGGGCACACGTGATTACGCCCGCCGAAACATTATCGAGGAGTCACGTGGCGTTGGAAAAACGGGCACAACATCCGCACGGGTCGAAAAACCGAACCGCAAACCCGAAAAGGATCCACGAGCACCGCCTACAAGGAAAACAACCCCGAGTCACGCGTTCCCACAGTATACAGGCAACGCGAAACCAGCTTCGAACCCCCTCGAGTTTTCGCCGGAACGTTTCGTATTACACGCTATTTCGCTGGTACGTATCGCTGTTGCGGTTCGATGTTTGCGGAGGATCGAGATCGAATCGTTTCGAGTGCCTCGTGTCGAGATTTTTACGCCCTTCTTCGTTTTTCTCGCGCGATGGTAGAAACGATTGTTTCCAAGTGGCACTAAAAGGCTGTGATAAATATATACAATTATTGATCCTCTCCTTTTCCTCGTTTCTCCTTTTTCTTATATATATAGAAATTCCTCCTCGATGAGTAATTTTAAAACGAAGTAATTACACAGTGTCCCAACTTCTTTCTATGTAGTTGGTCTCCGTTGTTTGTCACCTTGAGTAAAAAGCACCCGAAGGCTATGAAAAATATATAAACATAACGATCCTCCCTTTTCCTCATTTCTCTCTTTTTTCTTCTGTTACATAAATCACGAGCAACTCCGCTGAAATATTATTGCGAAATTCGTCTCCACGGTCCGGCGTATTTATATTTAACGTCTTAACAAACAGTATGCCAGACGAAATTCTTAATCTTATCGAGCATCAGCCTCTTCAGGCTTTCGCTGGAATCGATGACGTTGTATGTAACAGCGATTATCTAAGCTATCGGCAAAGGAGGTCGATTCTTGTCGCTGTGCGTTATCAGTACAACAAATTTCGTGTTCTATAATTACAGCATTCGCGCATTTATCGTTATTTCGTCGTGCAGTAAAAGAAAGCGTTACCCGCGTCGGTAAATACACAGAAGTTTATATACAAAGGCGAAAAACGTGTATCTTCGAGTAAACCGAAATTCAATTACGTTAATTGCTTATACACCACCGGTAGGACGTATCAGACCACTCGAAGACTTGTCACCGTGTTTGATAGATTGACAAGGTTGAACGATAATCAACTTCTGAGCGGCACGAACGATTGTTCAATAATCGTTATGTAAATGTAACATAGGGATTCGATATTTTACTGGACTGAAACATTTTATTTGAACACTCATTAACCCTGATAAATCAGTAATTTATTGAGACAAAAGTGAATTCTTGTCACGTTTTTATTTAAGTAATTACGAATAAAATTCATTCTAGCGATTTTAATTAATTTAATCGACGGTTACACTTTGAATATAAACAAGGTTTTAAAGAAAACCTCTGAATGAAGTGGTTGCCATGATTTCACAGGTTGCCTCCCCTCATGTTTCACGTAAAACGTCCGACAATATTTCTTTGTTGGTCACTAACGACTAATTACTAATTACCAATTACTAATGTACCAAAATTCAACCCTTTCGAAATGAGGTAATTTATTGTTCGACAGTTTTCGTCATTTATCATACTTTTATAAAACAGGGTTATTTTGATCAGCTATCACGCTAATAAATAACTGTTAACATATAATGTTCTCCTCAACGATAATAACTAGACTGCGGATCTTTATACAAAATAAAATCGCGAACGTGCCTACAAAAATTGAACCTAAATAGGAATTTATTTTATTCTGCAAATACTACAACATGAACTTTAATTTCAATCTTATCTATATTCTTGCATACTTGCATTTTGTATCTTCTAGCACATTCAAATTTTCTTTAAATGCATAAAGATCCGCAGTCTAATAAATAATCACTATTATATTTTAATGCTTCATCTATTTCCTACCCTATCGAAAGTTTGAAACATCAACCTTTGTATTTATTTACGCAAGTAACTTTAATGATATTCAATTTAATCTAGCCGTCCGCCCTGGAAGCTCGATGCCTCCCCGATGAAATCTTTGGATCCACCCTTCCGGCGCCACCCTCAGCCAACGAGCAGACGTCCAAAGACCGGGTTGCATCGCGGATTACGTTGACGTAGGTGTTACGGCGTCGTAACTCGGCCGCGATACTCGGCAACTGTAAAAAGTTGGAAAACGCCGCGACGGGAAGTGGCTTTTCACCGCGCGGCGTTTCTCGGTTGCGAAAATTAATGGCCCGATAAAACACGACCGCGAGTACACGGAGAAGGGCAAGCGGCGCGTAAAGTGTCTCTGGGAAACGTACCGTATCCTGGGTCCTTCGGGCACGCGTCGAGCCTCGGCGTCGAGTTACAGGCGCGTCTTTTTTCCTCGCTCGTCGACCGTCTCCTGTCCGACATTTCGAATTTGAGCTTTGATCGATAGTTTCGTTTTTTCTTTTTTTTATTTGTTGCTTCGATCTTTGGGATATACTCGTGGGACCGTGACCCGGGGAAAGGGTGACTTTTCCAGGCTGGGAAAAGGGGCTGGTGTTTCGGGGAATTTTTTCCTGCAATGTAAATAAGAAGGACGGAAGTGCGTGGCGTTGAGCGGTGTTTATGTGGTTGTGGAAGTATGTTGGTTTGGAGGGCGTAGTTGGGTGAAATCAGTTCGAGTGAACTTGCATAAATAAATACCGAGGTTTGATATTTCAAACTATTCTTTTATAAGGGTAGAAACTGTATGATACATTAAAATGTAATGTTGGAGGGACCGAAAAGTAATCGAAACGTCTTCGACTTGGGAAATGTTTTTCAATGAAAAATGGAAGGACTCTTTTAAAAAGGGGATGAAATGACTGCCTTTGCGCTGGAAAAAAGTGTTGGAATTATTTGTCGATTAGTATTTAAGATTTCTTTAATAAATGAATGTCCGATAAAATTTTCCTTACTTTACGGTTCTCCTAACATTTTCATTTCTGTTGGAGATCATTTAACGTTGCCTAGGTAAAAAGTTTTTCAAGTACTCCGCTGTAGCACAAACCCGTCTGGCGTGGTTCACCGTAGCAAAGACACCATCTTTCATGCCTAATTATTACAGTGTACGCGAAACTTGCCCAAAAAATAAAGAAACGTGACTTGCTTTATGTGCACAAGCTTAGAAATAACAACCCAGACCTGTCGTAATAGTGTCTCGCGAATGAATATTAAACGAAAAATCGTCCCAAGTAGCTGTTTATAAAAATACACGTGTGCCCCATTAAAAAGCAACATCGTAAACATTCCTCGGAGCTTCTTTTTCATCCCCCAGCGATTCGTCTCGAGGCCACGTCGCGATGATACATGGACACGCGTGGGCGTCTAATAATTTTCCCTCGTAAAGACAGAATAGCGGTCATAGCTGGTCGATAACCGGTGTTTAACGACGTTACAAGGCCGATGTATCAAACCGAGTGGTCGCTCGGGGCGAAGTCGGTGGCGAGAAAACGAAGAGATACGCCCCGGAAGAGCGTTGCTCGTTTTCCACGGCTTTTTGGCGTGGGAGGTGGAGATGCGGCGATGCCGTGAAAAAAAAAGA